ATCGATGAGCAGTCGGCTGCGATGGTGTAGCGCTCGGAGAGACACGTCGGCAGCAGGACCAGGATACAAGTAACTCGCGTGGAGGTATTCTACTTGAGAACTTGATCTTTAGAGGCAAATGCAAGCCTCACTGAGATCTTTCTACATATGCCAGCTGTTGCTAGAGAGACCGTCTCTGCCGAGTGTCGCAATCGAGAATGTGAAGATATCGGAAGCAAGACAGAACCGACCCAGGCACCGAAGCTTGGAGAGCCATTAAGCTGTACAGTGCTCAGAGTGGTTTCAGGTTGAAGTAGTGCTAGGAGAAGCCACAGAAGAGTGCGACGTGATAGGCCTATTTGCGTTTGCTTTATGCAATACAGTTTACAACTTCCCACCAAGCAAAAAACATCTCCCAAGGTACAGGACAAGGCTTCACGCAGGTATGAAGCGTTTCCGGTCCAAGACGCACGTTGCGTGACTGCCGGTGTAGGTTCCGGTTACATATGGGTGGGAATATCGTGTGGCTGTATCGTCTATATTTCCACTTCAATGAGTAGGATACGAGTGTGCACTGGAAACTGTGTGGGCGGTTCGGCCACTCAAGTCGTAACCGTGAAAGTTCTCAGGGGCAAGATGGTGCCTGAGTTGGATTTATTTTATGACTATTCTCTATAGCGCTAAATGTGTCAAACAGCAGGCAGCATGTATATGCTGCAGCGTTCAAGTGCTTCGTGAAAGACACCTGCTGCTGTGGAGTGGCGGCGAGGAGTAAGTCTGAGTCGCTTCTTTCTAGCTGGGCAGTGTGATACTTGTCCGGTTCTAAGGGCGTTTGCACCGTGCCAGCGGTTATGCAGCTGTATGGAGGACATTGATATCGGCAGGAACAACGTCATTCGCCTTGCATATGAAGGATTGGAGTGCCATTTGTCTGAAGTGTGCATACTATGCTCGAACCGAGTACGTGTATGTATTGGGTAAATTAACCGGGAGGAGAGAATTCAATCTAAGTGTTCAATGGGAGCATTTGATGTTGGATGCGCATTTATTACATTACATATTACTATCTGACACGCGGTATGTCCTATCAATGACTTGCTCCATCTTTCCCCATCAGCAGGTCTGGCGAACCTGTCCTGCCTTCGGCGCTGGAAGGGAGTACGTGTCCGGTCTTGCATTTGTAGTGGTGATTCTACACCAGGAAAACCCGCAGTGATTAAGGTCACAGTACTATACGTGTTATGCAGCTCTAGAGAGTATAACACGCACTAGAATGTGATAGAGTGTGTCATCCAAGTTACAAACCAGAAGTTGAGCCCTTCTACGGTGATCGGCTACTTCGATGCTGGATTGACATAGCCTCTATGGACACAGTTTCCCGACGCGAGGGTGGGTAGATGCCTTTTCCTCTTCAAGCAGGCGTTGGGCCGTCAAGTGAAGAAGCTTCGTATTCCTACACCCTGGATAGAAGATTGCAATGGCGCCAGGTAGTGTGGACGTCTTAGCTGTCGTAGACAAGGACAAAGTGGCCATCCAAGGGACTTGTTACATGCGGAAGATGATCCGAGAAAAGTGCGGAGTGAGGGCTTGACGCATCCTACCACAAGTGGGAAAACTTTTGGAGCTACGTCAATCACCAATGGGTGGTCGGTATGACCCGACTTGTGGAAGATAGATGACATTAACAAACAAGTAGTTGCTAGAATCAATACTCGCTTGAGCGTTTCAACCAAGAGCTGAATGACACGTTTGTTCCCCACCCAAGCGTTCCGGTGTTTGCGGCAGGAATCGAAGCTCTCGCCCGTCACCATGTACAAGCCCTTCAAGGCATCCCGTCCAACCGTGCCAAGTCGCCACACCGTCGCGAAAAGTACACTTGGCCGAAAAAGGTGGCGTTCCCTAACTAGTAGATAGGTAATAGGTGCGAGACATAGATCCAAGTAGGTGTAGTTTTGTTACGTGTGCCTACTACTTGTCAGGCAAATAACATGTCAAATATATACCGAACTTTACATGCACAAGGAATACACGTCATACGACGTAATGATGCCAATGCTAAATGTTAAAGGCTCATCGAAGAATTTGTTTTTGTTCTGGCATTACATTTCGGTCACATAATGAGTCTGTTCAAATCCGATCCCTGCTCCGAATAGGAATAAAAAACGAGCACAATTAATGAGAACACGATATATGTTTTTTCTTGATCACAAACACACAATAAAACCGAGAAAATATAGAGTATGCAAGCAACAAATGAGGATGCTAAGAGAAGATATTGGTCAATTCATCAAAAGTGAGTCAGCAACTTAGACTATAGTTACGTTAAATTATCGAGTGAAAGGCCATGTTAACGTTGAACGAGTAATATAAAGAATTTTGAGCTATGGAATTATGGTGTTTCGTGGATGTGGTTGCCCTTTACCAGTTCCACTAAGAATCCGTGAGCTGTAATGTTTTGAGCTATTAGCGAACTATCGATCGCGGTGTCGGACTGTTTTGAGCTATTAGCGAACCATCGATCGCGGTGTCGGACTGTAAACGGCAGATTCTATGGAGTTAGCTGGACGGATGATAGACTGTAGTCGGACGGTTGTAGGTTGTAGGATAGCTGTCCGACTTTATCGAGTACTTCTCTGGCCCGCTTCAAAATGACGATTGCTTTTTATTTATTTATTTTTTTTAATAAATCGCACATAACCGAGTAAATTGTTTTTATTGGATAAAAATTGACAAGTTCTCATGCTTGTCTCCCGACCACTAATTCTGACACTGGTGAACGCTTATTCCGCAAACTCTTATATCCCACTCACGTCACTTTACAGAAAGTGATGGAAGCAGTTATGCGTTGTGGTGAGCAAACACGTAGCAGTCAATGGCAAGATGCCTATGTCGGTGAAAGTTGCAACCGATGCCGTATTAGAAGGGTACAGCCAGCTTTTCGATTCATAATTAAGTTCAATAGCTAATTTCATGTTTTGGAAAGCATAAATATTAGGTTAATTATTATCTCTCTTCTGATTGGTTAATTTTAATTGGTGGCTCACCATTATGCCCCGGATTTTAGAAATAAACCTCGTCCTCTTTGCGTCCAAATTTTAGAGCCTCTAATTCGTTTCTGCGTGCACGGTACATCCTATGGAAGCTAATCGTCTAACTTAATCGTCCTTAAAATTAGGTGTAATATCGCTAAATATTGATTGAACTGCGTAAAAATACCTCATGGGATTCAAACTGCGGAGAGTTTGAGCGCATGGTGCTCATCCGTATCTGTTGCTAGTGCAACAAAAACATATGATCAGGTGCGCTAAACCGGGGGCTTTTCGATGGTGTGCTTACCGCCTTCTGCCGAGGTCAGGCTTTAAAGTTATCAGTAAATGTATGAAAGCGTCATTTTGAAGCGGGCCAGAGAAGTATTCGGTAGACTGTTTCCGAGCCAAAGTCCGTTCACGAGATGAGTTGAGCCGAAAGAGCTGAGCGGTAATAAAACTACTGTTTATTGGTATTCATCGCTTTTAGCTTCTCCAATCGACTGCCTTTGCTGTCTTACTTTGATTATGCGTCCCATCTGTAAAAGTACGATTCCGACAACGTCCAACAAAATTCTTACTACATATGACTTATGAATCACAGCTCATGCGTAGTAACTTATGAGCAACCTTAGCAACCACCAAGTGAGCTCCCAACCAAACCATCCAGTCGATTTAGCATGAGGGGTTTTCTGGAGTTTAGTTCGAGCCTTCTGTAGATGATATGAGGCGCCCTCATGATAGATAGCTACTTTTTTTTTTTTTCGACGTACGCATCAGAAAGAATAGACAGTGGACTTGATCTGTTTTTATGTCAGGGGAGAAACTTTAATTAAGTTTTGAGGATGAGCGTGTGACAGAAACGTGGGAGCTCATAAAACATGGGAGCTCATTTTACAGCTTCTGCGTGAAACACCGTTAATTGAAGGTGATGAGGATAAGAAATCTACAATTGTCTTGCTACCATGTGCGACGACCACAGTGGGTGAACATATTTTCGGACTTTTGACATATTTTTATGGCTCGGTCGATCTCTGATTTTCTCTGATAAGCCTCGAGGCGATACAGCTCAGAGGTGATTGAGGACCGAGCGTATTTCTGTTGACAAGCGTTCTTACCAGCGCGAGCTGAACTGTTCTGGGATGGAATATGTGCACTTCTTGACACACGTCAGACAAGTGAAATTTCATCAGTGAAACCTTCAACGGTAGCGTTGCTGCCGCAACCGGCGTGCGCTAACAAGTTTTGTCGAGAGGTCAACGTGCTGGTCTAGGCCGCATTTCTTACACCTGAAGTTCTGGCCCAGAACTCTTCAAAGTGCTCTCGCATAACCGATTCTTCCGGCTCAAGTAATACCGATGTCCACTTCACAGCTCCGATTTCGTCGGAAGATCGGCAACGCGATGTATGGCGAGGTCCTCGAGTGCGAACTACACCCGTCGAAGGCGAACTTCCCAGCGCTCCCCTTTGGTAAACGACGTATTGTCGCTGTCAAGTGCATGTCACTCTCTCGTGCGCTTGACGTCCAGAATCGATGTGGAGCATCTCGTATTATGGATGATCCAATCCAGGAAAGTCGTGTCGCTGACCTTCTAGCCAAGAACGGGGGCCACCGCAACGTGGTTGCTTCCTACTTCCATTTCCAGGAGAACCGATGCCTCTATCTCGTTGGAGAATTCTGTACAGACGGAGACCTCTACACGCACCTCGCTAGCACCACTGGGAGCGGAGCAATGGACGAACGGCAGACTATCAACACCATGAGACAGATCTTCAGTGGAGTCGACTACCTGCATCGAGTACTCAGCATCGCACACCGAGATCTCTCACTCGAGAACGTGTTGATCAACCAGGGCGAGTGCAAGATCTCGGACTTTGGATTGTCCGTGGATACAAAGACTCGGTGTACTGAGCGGGTTGGCAAAGAATACTACATGGCCCCAGAGGTTGTGGCAGGGGAAGCATATGACCCAGTCAAGGCAGATATTTGGTCGCTGGGCATCATGTGGTTCATCTTGTTGACTGGCTCGCCGCTTATCCCGATCGCATCGCGGAAAGAAGCTTCCTTTCTAGCGTTTAAGCGCAGTGGCGTAGTACCAGTCTTCAAGTCTTGGGGAGTGAAGGCCTCGTCATACACTATGAATCTTGTGGATCGCATGCTCAAAGTCAATCCAAGCGAACGCATTTCGCTCGAAGTACTTGTTGCAGAACTAAACTGCTAGTTTACCAATTGTTAAATAATTTAATCACTTATTATTCTGCTACTCCTCAAACATTTTTTTTCAACTTCAAGCGGTCACCACGCTTATCGCTGCGAACTGTAAAAAATTATGATAGACCACATAATCGATGCCGTGTGCACCTGTCTAGGATTTGAAATAGACAATTGATCGTCATAGTTACCTACTAACTAAAAGAATCCGACCTTGACGTGGTCAACTCTTATTGCCTGTAATTTTCATTTGATATCAATAATTTATTTTATTTAAGTGGAACAATATCACTAATAACATATACTGAAGTATTGGACTTGCTTTTGTATGGTCCATTTTTATGGACATTAAAATATTCCATTATTTTAGTAATACAAAACGGTGATACTTGATTGCTATGCCATTTTTTTCCGAGTCTTGGTTGGAACTGGATAACATCTGTAGAATTGAGTTGATGCCATTCATGCGGCTCAATGTCGTTGGTGATGATATCAATGATCGAAGGTGACGAGTCTTCCTCACACCAACTTTCTGCACAGATTTTGCTTATTCAGATTCTAAGCAAGTGTGACTGTTTTTTAGCCGAAATTCTATACTTTTTATTTATAATAAATGCGATTTTTTTTCTCTTTCTTTATGATAATCGACGATTTATTCTATTTGTAATAAATAGTATTTCTTAAATACAAAAAAAAATATTCAAGATCAGATAATGTGGCAAATTTAAGAATTTGAGTCGCGGGACAATCCTGAAGGAAGAGTGTCAGGCATTTGAAACACGCGACAAAGTTGCGTAAAACAATCATAACACCTCGATAACTGTAATCCTCTTGCTAACGTGACGATTAGGATGCTATCCGTTCACATGGCCTTTTCAGGTCATTTCGATTGACGGAATGAGTCACAAATATAGAATGGAAGAGGACCAAAAAGAACAAAAAGATCGCCAGGAACACCTAAAGCACGAATAAAAGAAACGTTTTAGGAGCGTTCCCCTTCGATTCTATGTCTTGTTGCACCTTGCACGGAGCTGATAAATGTAGTATATTGTCAGCAACGACGAAGCAAACGGAGAATAGTAACCAAGCTGCAGGTGCTGAAACAGAAGAATATTTTAAAGCATATTGGCTGAACTGTAGGTTGCTGCTAAACACAAAACTCAGAGGTATTTGAATGGTTCTAGCAATTGCAGAGCTCGGAGTTTCCAATTTGTTCAGCCAAAGTTATTTGCTTGGCTACGTCGTTTTGATCACCATACAGGGATCTTGCACAACTTTCTGCGAAAAATCGTACAAAATACCGTAATTAATTTGTTGCGGCCGCGGTTAATGAATCTGCACAACAGTGGCAAGAAGAAACTACGATAACATTTCAATTGTGCTCGTTGGATGTTCTAATCATGTGTAATTTTACCGGAACTAAAACTCGCTGGCTGCAGTTATACCAGACGTGCATCATTACTGAAACGGTGCGTTGAAATCAACTCCTGCAACGCAACACGCAAGGAAAGTGTAAGTAGTTATATACCATCACAGCATTTTGTTGATTACCTGCATGCACCAGCGTCAACTGAACAATGAAGAGGATCCAGATAAAGAGTAGACTTTGAAGTATAACAGCGTGGGTTTCCAGTACAAACGCGAGTTGATATACTGGAGAGAATCCCAGCCTCTTTCTGAGCATCACGTGCAACCCTACGAATGACACAAATTCGAGCGATCCATACATGACCAGTTGGATAAGAGTTGACGTCAGCTTCGCAGGAGTGAGAGACTTTGTAAAGGGATAGTACGCAGCGGTGGGGAGGTGGTAAAGGCCAGCAAGATATCCAGCGTATACTATAGGAAGCATGCACTCGATGTACTCGGACAGGATAACGTATTCACAATGGAATAGTACTTTTAGTCCCTCTTGAATGGACCTCTCAAGTCTCCCACGAGACACTGTTACTCCAATCGATCTATGAGTCGAACGTTGCGAATTAGAAAGTACCGGCACGCTAAGATTTTGGCTTGCCAGTTGACTTGGAACGAGCTGCGTTGATGGCCCAAATGCTAGTGTCGGACTAGTTATACATGCCATTTCTTGCTGAGTATTCGCCGTTGGAGTTGTAGAGCTCCATTTCTGGTCCAGAGCAAGTAAGAAGTCTTTGCTGGTATCAGAGAGCGGTAGTTTGTATGGCATCAGCAGTCGAATTGGGCCAGTGTATGGCGTCGTCGTTGGCTTAAACTTATCCAGATATGATAGTAGTCTATCGATGTAATTCTCTTTGTCTTCATTTTGCTGTCGAATCCAGTTAGTGTGGTTGTAAATACTTCGGAGAGCGAGGATAATGTGAAAGACATCGGTCGACATCACTAACACTGTCGTAAGCAACGATCTAGCTGTCTGCATACAAATAGCCACGTACAAAACATTGAAAACATCCACCGAGAAGATGATGACAGTACCGATATAGTCTTGTAGATATGTTGCAACTTTGGCGATAATTTGTTTCGTGATGAATTTGATCACTGGTAGAACGAGCATAAACACCGCCTGCTCCAGCCCTGACAGCTGAAGAAATACAGCGTTGAACGTCGGGTATGCCACTACTAGTAGCGATTGGGCAGATGATCCGATAATGTGTCCAATTAGTTGTTTCCGCAGCTTCTGGTTCGTTTTGAGTTCGTTCCGATCGATACTAAGTACGATGAGATTAACGATAATCGACACAAAAGGGCAAACTAACAAGACGATTCCAAATGGGATGGGGAACCTCCACATTGAGGCCAGTAAACAGCCGAGTCCAGTGTACAGAGTTGCCGCAATAATGGTGATACCAATGGCGCGAGATAGTGATATTTTACCTTCTTCGATGATCGCTCTTGTGAGAAAAACGATGCCACCTCCAACGAAAATCGCTGTGATAAACACACGGACGAACATCGTCCAACTTGTCCTCCAGCCTAATTCAGGGTCTTTTAACGGGATGCACTCGATCAAGAGCATTGCACTGGCAGCTGGTACAGGGGTTAGAATGCATACAGCAAACGCTCGGAAAAGGGAAGTACGATCACAATAGTCACGGAAAGCGAGTACACGTTCGACGGAATAATGCTCTCGATGTCCAATCTGAATTCGTCTCCAAGAGGCGGCAATATTGCTGTAAATTCCTACCAACGAATGGACTAAGCTGTTGGATCTGCTTAATGGTTCCTTGGCTGTGTGGTACGTCAGCACGGGCTGAACTCTGCGCCGCGGTGACATGGCAAGGTGAGTAGTCAGCCTTTAGCTAGTGTCCAACTACGGACAATCTATTTTTTTTGTTTCTATTCTAAGGAGGTTGTCTTGCGATAAAGCTTCCAATCCAAACATTATCAGTGGTGGGAATTCAAAACAAGACTCACCACAAAAAAACCAATTTTTTTATCGTGTTTGAGCAATCAGTTTCCAGTGATAGCGGGATATTCCGTTGACAGCTTCATTACATCTGCGATCTAGTGATGTAAAACGAACATTATCGAAAAGAATTCTAGATTAGATCTGCCTAGTAACAACACCCACGGGTTGGAATGAATACTTAGGAGCACCAGAGCAAAATCAAACGATCAACTACTAAAATGAAGCGTTAAAGTCAACATCTGCAAACATTATAGAAAGCGTTAGTCACTTCGGTACCTTGCAACTTGTGTTCAACACTGCGTCGTACCATAATGTGCCAACGTAAGATGTAAAATATAAAATTCCACACAATCAGGTGTCCCTGAACAGTGCAAAACTGCATCTCAAATACAAATGCTAGTTGGTGCAGAGGCGAGTACCCAAATTTGCGCTTGAATAGCACCAGCAATCCGATAAAGGCCACAAGCTCAATTACCGCAAAAATCAGGATACTCGCCACTGTTGCCTTCAGCTTGTTCTCGCTCATTGATGAAGTGTGTGGATAATAAGCTGCTACTGGAAGATGATACAGAGCTGACAGATACAAAGAATACAGATCGGCAGTATAAACTCAATGTACTCGGCCATAAGCACGTATTCGGAGTGGAAAAGTGTCTGCAACGCAGCTCGAACCGCATCTTCTCGAGAGTTTATACTTGTGAATTTCCGAATTGTTGTGGCCGTGGGATCTACGCTGCGTACCTGATTGGTTTCACTGGCCTCCCTTGAATTTATTGAGTCCTTAATGTGATTTTTTATGCCTAGGGCTGATTTTGCTGCCACTAATTCTCGTACCAGACCCAATTTTTCACTCGAAAGCTGAAGTCTAAATGGCGCCAGAATACGAATGCTCCGCAACGTTTTGGTTGAATCTTGAAGTATCGTTTGTATGGAAAGCTCTACCCCTACCAAATACCCTGAATTTGACTGAATCTGCGACTTGGTAATTGGTTGTACTGCGAATTGTCGCCGAAATATATCGCGAAGAGCTAATACAATATGGACACTGTCGGACGCAATAATGATCAAAGTCGTGAGAGTCGAGGCGGTGGCTTGCATGCAAATTGCGATGTAATAAACGTTGAAAACGTCCACGGAAAATACCACGATAAGATCAACATATTCATGAAGATTTGTCACTGTTTTTGCGATAATTTGCTTCGTAGCGAACTTTATCAGGGGCATCACAAAGACAAAAATCGTTTGCTGAGTCCCCGACAGACGAAAAAATACTGCACTGAAGATCGGATACGCCACCGCTACGAGACCTTGAGTGATAATGATCATCACCTGCGACTTTAATTGGCTCATTAGTTGAGGGGATCTCGCCAACATCGGTAGTCCAATGAAGAAAACAGTGATAATGGAAAACATTGCGATGTATGGTCCAACCATTTAGGACGTAACGAAATGGAATCGGAAACTTGATGAGCACCGCTATTGCGATTGATACCGCAACATATGCCGAGGCTGCACACAAGCAGACACCTAGCGCAGCGACGTTCGAAAGTGTGTTTTTGGCAATAACGCCTTTGACTTGTAAGACCAAACCGATGGAGACAATAAACATAGCTAGAAACATCCGAATCCAGAGCAAACAATTAGCTTCCCATCCATCTGAGGGTGGTTGTAACGTGATACAGTCGATTGCTAGAGCTGCGGCCATAGCAGGAATTGGAGTGATGATACAAACAGCCACTGCTCGCCAGGTTGATGTTCGTTCATGATAGTCATACAACGCCAATACACGCTCCACAGAATATTCGCTCTGGTGGCCAATTTGACAACGATTCCAGGATGCTGTGACCGTATACCAAGCTTCTGAAAGCCGAGACATCCAACACTCGCTTTTAATCGGAGATGAAGAGCAAGATCCATCGCTCACTCGACGGTTCATTGTTGTGGGAGGAGGTTGAGACAGTGATTCCAGCACCACTGGGTATTTTGAGACGAGTGCAACAAGACAGTCTATTTTGATATTAAAATATGACTACGTCGTGTATCTCTACCTGGTTTACCGATTAAAACAAAATAGAAGGCCACCTTTTCACAGTAAATCTGTCTGATGTACCGAGAGAGAAGTATGCATAGGTTTCCGGATACTTAGACCGCAGCAACGACTCTAAAGCCAAGATTTCTTCTTCGACGCAGCTTAAGATCAGCTATTCTGCAGGACGACAACACTTGCGTCCTCTCACGGGAGAATCATGATGAAATTTCCTGAGCAGGTCCGAGGACGATTTCCTATATCTCGTGGGGAGTGCGTCCGTTATGCTTATAATCGATTTCACCCTTGTGGTGGCCACTGTGTTGAGAGCAGCGGTGATCTATCCCCGCATTTGGACGAGCTGAATAATGCGAAGTCTTTTTGTCTCTTGAGGAGCTGGGGATCTTGTGTTGATTCTAATATGTATAGGATAGACTGCTATAGTAGAGTGAACCGGCTGAACGATAATGACGACTAGAGAGTCGGAGAAAATTCCCCACCACCACGAAATCCAACAAACCAAATTGTTTACGATAACAACAGCTTTCACTCGTAGATAAGGACTTTCCTGCGCGGATCAGCACCAATAGTGGTCCATGTCTCGCGCCGAAGCGAAAATTTCAAGACTCGGCGAGCAGCAAACGTCTCTTCGTTAAAGTACTGTAATTATTTTGGAGATGTGTTTGCCCTCGTGTTGGGTGCATCGACGCACTGTCTGCAGTTAGACGGTCCGTTTTCGTCAAATACCATGCTTACATACACGTACAGACAACGAACCAAATCAGGACATGTACCGTAGTACACGCATTACCCTGGATCGAATGTTTGTTGATATATATAAAACATAGCGGTGGCTTCTATAATATTGGCCACAACAAGTACATCTTATTGCCTTTTCTTCCGTACTTAGTGTATTCAGTCTTCATTAGCAAAAATACATCATTTGATTTTATGCTAACGAACATGCACGACTTTATTTTAGGATTGTGAGAGAACAAAATTTCACACTTTTTGTCAGACGATGCGAAAGAGCTCAGGGTCTTTGTGAGGGCTCGAGCTTCAACCACCAATCCCCGCGACCATGCCCCCATGCCAGTACAGTATGTACTACCACGCAGATAGATTTCAAGCGAACGTCTACACATACTCGAAATTCTCGCACATTGCGTGGATTAGAGGTTTTGAAGATTTCAAATTGAAGCATAGTCTCAAACCTTACCGAGCAAATCGCTATAATTCTCAGTTTTACTCCGCTTGACCAATGTACATATGGCGTCAAATCTGCAATAATCCTTTACTGAAAACAAAAGAAAACTAAACTTGAATTTTTATGTAAGATCGTTGCCGTAAAGTAAAGGTAGAGTAGCACCTTACACTGAATTGTTTTTTTTCGCGATCATGCACTATCTGAATACTTCACTATAAACAAAAAAAACTGATTTTTTTTTTAAAAAAAGAACGAAGATGCACAAGATCATGCACACTACGCTAGCTTTCATCATTTTCGGTGATGTCACTGATATTTGTAGTTTTGAAGTAGGTTTCAATCATACTATCAAGCTACAGTACAAAATATAGCAATCTACATTTTTGTAAAAAAAGAAACCGTGGCCGTTTCATCGATCACACACCACTCGCGTGGATCGTTGACAACAAGTACACGTTCGGCATTAGCATACGATGATTCAAACGGAATGTGACCGTGGATTCGGAAAAAGGATCCACCACAGCATCTGAGTCGAGATTGAACCAATTGAGGAGCCACATATCAATCCATTACCGCAAAGAATGTGTACTTGTTCAACATCACGAAAAAGAGATGATGTCGCTTTCACAGGAACTCCAACTTGTTATTTTGATATTTCTGTTGGTTCTTATTGACGCTAATGGTTAGCCATTCTATACTACCAGTAAGTTGCTTCACGAAGCAATGCCAATAGGGCTGATTACTTGTAGGTATTACTGTGCTGGTGTAGTCGCGATATCAAAACGAATCGCCCCCGAAATTTGCTGCTTTATTCTAGAAAGCTAATGTGTGCACTAACAAAAAAAAAATTTAGATGGTTAGGCATCGTATTTCAAATCTAAAGCACCGGCATGCGACATCATTCGCCAGTAAATCACAACGGTTGTGATCTTGTCACGACCATCAACAATACTTAAAAATTCGAGACCGTGACCGCGAATGTACACGTACCAGTCGACTCCGGTGCTCAGTTCTCAATTCACCTACAAGACCTCAAGTCCTTCATTTGTCAAATTCAAGGTCAAGAATGCGTCCCCCCTTCTTCTCTTTTTAACTGTGACCGTCCTCGTTTCGTGCGCCAGCGCTGTGTCCACGGGGAATGCTGCTGAATTGAGGTCGCTGAGATCAATCAAGACGACCACCAACGACGATGCGGCAGAAGAAGAACGCGGCGGCTTCTACCACAAGTTTGATCTCAACTTTCTGGACGACATCTTTCACGGTTTGCCTGAACAATTCCAGAGAATGAGGAACCAACCCGAGCGCCTGAGAACCATGTTTGAAAACTGGAAGACTGGGTGGATGTCTGTCGACGACGCTGTAGCCTACATGACGCGTGAGGGTTTGAGTGAAAAGGCGATCAGCCAGTTCAAGGCTGCGTACCAGGCGTATCTCAAACATAAAGGATAATAAAAAAGCTGGGCTCTTGCTATTGTCTAGCAAGTGCGTGTTCTTAACAAAAAAAAACTTGGTATTGTGTGTGCAGTGTTTTATCGTTATCTGTTATGTTACAGGTTATTATCGAAGAAAGAACTGAGAAGTACCAGAAGCACATGAAGTTTTGTATTGAGAGTTAGGTCAATTAGACCGACGATGGAGCTGTATTTTTATTTGCTTGGGAGATGGTTTAATGTCGTACGGAGTACTATGTACGGGTTTCTCTTGTGGTCTGGGATAAATTAACTGTAGTGGCATGGTCATTCAGCAACAGTAGAATAGAAGAAGATTAGGTACGGTTAGGCGTCGGACACCCACAAACTTTATCAAGCTTGCATGAAACAATCTCCCTGGATATTTAAGTTTTACCAGATCACCGACTTCTTAAGTTTCTTGACGACGTATTTTCCCAAGCAAGAGCTCCACCCCTCCTTAAGAAACATCTAAATGACCGGCATTTTGACGCGTCTGAAAGCCCACCTCTTCATAATCGAAGTTCGATAAGGCAAAGATGGCACCAAGCTGCTCCATTTAAGTCCGATTTCGTACGATATGTGATGTTTAGTGAACTCTAGTGATTAATCGGTTTTGCTCGGTCCGTTCAACCCACCTTGGAAACTTCGACTAGAACCCACAATAGCTTTCACAAAAAAAGTGTAGCACCAAACGAGTATAGACATGTTGCTGTCCATTTGGTCCGCTATGGCCTTGGTGGAGCCTGCAGAATAAGGGGTTTACTAACAGATAATGTTGTACTAAGTACATTCAACTACGCACGTGACTGAATCTCTAATATCGATTTCTAGTATCTATCGTTACGTAAACAGAAGTGTATTCCAAGCTAAGTCGAAGACGATCTAGTAGAAGTAATTGCAACGCGTTTAATAGTTGCAGATGATACCACTATACAATCGATAGGCAATATCTGCGCGTGTGATTCTTTGTCGTCTACTAATGCCGTTGGGAGCCTCTAGATATACAGTAGTATAGTAACATCGATTTAATTGGACTATATCCGTAACAATTAAAACGTCCCGCAACAGCAAGCTACTATGGGGTACAAACTATATAAAAGAGAGAAAAACGACTTCAATTGGCCACACTCCTTGAAGAATGACAGTCCAACAACTTTTGACATGCAGCACAAGTCCCAAACTTCATTCGAGGGGCCAACCCCGTGTGGTAATTGCTCGAATCAGATTACAGGAAACATTATAAGTCTACATGATCGGGTATGACATGATATTTTTCCAAAATATACATGGGATCTTTACTGCTGTACATTTTAGCAATATCTCGTAGGTTGTTCACGGGTCAAATCAGCCCCAAATGAAGCGACGAAATAGATCAAGCGCGTAGTTTTTAGAGGTGTTCGGTTCTAGATAATTTTTTTTTGTAATCTCAACTTGCCACTAAGAGACTTCAACGGTGTCGACATGTGTTGACGAACCGTTGGAGTTGGTGTCATTCCAGTTGAATGTCTTGATATGGTAGTTTGTATTTGGTCGTGGGTGACTTGTGAATGGTTGTGACTATGAGAGACAACGAGAGATCCAGGAAACACTCTGCGGAGATGCCCAGGAAGGATCGTGACCATGGTTGGCCAGCTCTCGTCCACGTTGTGGGCCGTAGTAGTCACTGGTAACTGGAAGGGGGTTTCTGACTGCGGTCTTCCCCGATGCAACACAATACACTGCTCACTTTTGAATCTGCACTCTAAGCTACAAGCGCCTTTCTTGCTGTCGCCGCTCTTGCCTACACTGCTCGACTCTGGTGCTGATGAGTCTGAACGGGAGTTCTCGTAGCCACTTCCAACCATTTTGCTATTAATTATGCGGTGATTCTGCGGCTAGTACTAGTAGACCATTCTTTAAGTTAGCCTTGTATTGATCTTTGAGTGCCAATGCTAGCTTCGCAAATAAAGCACGCGAAGTTCGCAAACTTCAACGGCTCGCAGAGTGATACAATCTGTAAGGGTAAAACTGGGTCAAACCGACAGAAAAAAATGCAATGATGAACGGATGTCACAAAAAATTCTATCTGCTAGTTTTCTCAAGGTACTTCCTCTTGGAGATTTAATTATCTGCGTTTAGGCTGCCTTACGGGCTAGTTTAGACTGTTTTAATTCGGTGACGTTACCGATTGAATGAACAAACCTTTAGAAACGACAGAGTAGTCATTCTTCTCCTTTGGCTCACGAAATGCCCCGCCGGATGCACGACAGATATTAAGTCCTCACGAGTCCAAACGGGTTAGACTTCTACACGCACACAAAGAGAAATTGCGTGGCTAGCAATCCTGCGAGAGTTCGCGAGCGATAGCTCTTAACTGTCAGATACGGACATCCTGACGCCAATTTATATTTTTAACATGCTACTTTTGCTCAACGTTCAGCTTACATGTCTGAGGTCGGCAGAATTTTAAGCGGGATAACATCGAGCGAGTTACGCAGTACCGTGGAATTAATCCTTTTAGGGCTGCCCATACCTAAAAGTTTTCCCAGTCTAATTTTTGTTGTTATTGTAGTAGTCAACTATTGTATAACTACAATACTGAATGTTGATCATCGCCTATTGTTAGAGAAGGTTTCGGACAAGTCTACAAAGTCAGATACATTCCATCAAGTATATCTTCGTTCGTCCCCACCACCTCCCCTTCTAGCGCGTGGGTTTCTCCTGCTTCCCCCTTTCACTCGGCTCCCACGTCGGCCTCGTTTTCTTCTACCAGCCCCTCTTCTTGCGTCTGACCTTCTCTACGGTTTCCTGTGCCTGCCTCTGTTCAACATAAGGTCGGGCGCTTAAGTCGATCCAGGTTCTTGTAGATGATATAGTATGCAGGGCTTCCTAAAAAACAGTGGCGTCGTCCACATGTTGCATTTTCAAGCGAATAATGCAGTTCTGGCATTTGGAAAAACTACATTCCACTATTGAGTATCCCTCGTCGACCTCTTTATATCTCGCCTATGAATAAAATATTTCAAATCTTCATTCATCAACCAACTACTGCTCCTGCGCGCCCAGTAAACTTTTTAACTGAGGCTAGGTCTATTATTGCGATATCAAAGATGTTGAGTACATTATGTATTATTCCGCTTACACAATAAACACTACTTATTTACCTGTTTTTGCTTCACGGCACCATTATTATTGTTGTAATATTTGCTTCCTACATCTAAATAGTGTTTTAGGAATCACTGGTTGTATGTGCCGTGGTACACATTGATAGTTGCTTATACAACATAGGTGTACGTTCAGATTCCTGCTCCTTTTGCC